AGGGCAGGATTTCACAATAGCTTTGTGTAACCCCTTTGTGCAGATATCCAAGGGCTAAGGGGGCTGATTAGCCTCAAATACCGCTCAGAGCAGCCAGCCAGCAGAGAACACTGGCTGCCTTTCATACCGTGCCAGCAAAAATCTCGTGAGGATGGTCTCAGCGGAGTGTGCAGCCAGATTCCTACCTACCCTTCACCCCTGGGGTGAAAAAGGAAAAGCTGGCACTCTGTGCCCCCACTCTCCCGTAATCCAAGTCTAGGGGGACGTTATTTATGCAAAATCCTTTCTCCCAAAGCACTAAACCTGCTGCTGACCCTGACACCAGCGGGCACACAGCCATGGAAACCAGGGGAAGTTACACAAGGGTGCAGAAGTGTTTACAGAGCCAGCTCACACACTGGCCCCAGTGTTGCCCCGTGGGCAGGAGGTGGGGCTTCTGGCATCTGCGTGGGGGCTCTCCAATGAGACCCAGGGCAGCACAAGGCTCCAGCCTTCTGGTTTTCGTAACAGCAGCCCCCTCCAGTAGGGCTGAGGCATGGGAGGAGCTTGCCCAAACTCAAATAAACACTGACATGCAGCATCTTATGAGGATGTGCAGCCTCAGCAGCACAGACTGCAACAGCCAGAAGGATAAGACAGCTGAAAACGTAAGTATGTTTGCTTTCCCCTCTTCCTCAACAGCATTAGTGGCTTGTGGAATGGCATGTTCTGGCTGTGCTTACTTGTGGCAGTGGTGTAACCTACTGACTGTCCCCCTGGCCCACGTGCTAACAGTTGCAGGAAAACCTGAACACCCCCCAGTCATATTTGTATGAACAGATGGACACTTCAAAGCTCAGCTTTCCTGTAGATCTAAAATGAACTCAACTGTAAACATCTGGAGCAGTCTTCTCAGTTTGTCTCTCCCACCCCAAAGCATTGTTTTATTTAATTAAAAAGTATTTCTAACATGCATTGACAGTACTAGCCCAAAAGTTATCAAAGCCAGAGCTGAGATCTACCCAGCAGTTCAGGAAAGGTGTGTTGGGAAGGGGTTGGAATTGGCAAGTAGACAGAAGCCAGTTCGTCCAGTAGCTACTACCAGTGTTAAAACCAAGAAACATTTACTCCTCTGCTTCCTCCCACCCCCAGGGAACACATGAAGAGGATCAATGTGTTTCCTATCATGTTGTAGCGAAGAGAAAGCAAAGTGAGAGCAAAGCAGCAGCATCTTTGCCCTAGAAATGGCAACAAAGAAATTACTGTAGGAAGTTTCAGCGTAGTTGCTGGCATTTGCTTCTAATGAAGTGGATTCCTGCTTTGTTATGCTTTGTAAACACCACTGACAAAAAGTCTACTGGAGTACAACTGCCCAGCAGCCCCTGGTGACCATTGCTGTGGTCAGGGCTGCTGAGGATGAGGTACCTTCAGGCTGGGACAGGGAGGGGACAGCACCTGCCTTTAACTGCTGGCATCAGTGTCCTGCTGTGGGACCTCCCCTTGCTCTGTGGGGACAAGTGAAGGAGCTGCTGGGAGAAGCTCAACAGCACTACACAACTTAATTTTAAAGATTCTAAGGTTTGTTTGGTTTGGTTTTGGGTCGTGTGTTTTGTTGCTTTGGGGTTTTTTAATAAGCTTTTCAACCTCAGCTCCCCAAAAGAATTCCTCCAAAGGAGGGTATGGAAGGGGGATTAACGGTATTCAACAGTGCTCCACATGTCACAGGAAGATGGAAACAGAAGTAGTTAAGTAGCACAGTTGTTGACTTTAGAAAAGATGCTCTGTTACCCAACAAAACATGTAACTGAGCTATAATCTGGGAAAACAATGTCCTATGACCTAGGAAGTGAGATAATTGCTGAATTACATGCTATCTTTGCAACATGTGCAAAGGACAGTGATATAACAGGAAAGCTGAGACTGTCAGGATGTAGGTTACATGCTACAATCTGCCTGGTAATGACAAAAGTCATAAATGAAGGCTCCTAAAATCTCAAGGCTTTTAATCAGATGTGATTATTTCAATGGTGATTTTGAGTATTTTCACTTGCTTTGTTTTGGGACAGTGTCTTCAAATTTTCAGCTTTTTCCTCCTGTGTGAAGGAAAGAAAGTATTCATTCCTAAATGCAGAAAATCTCATTTAGCCACAGGGCCCTGAGGCCAAAGGCTTTTAGGAAAGGTATCAGCTATTATGAGAGACTAAATAAAGTTAAGGCCAAGTTAACTTTGAAGTTTAGGCAAAGTCATTATGAGAGGCCCAATAAGTCAGTACCAGAGCACCCACCAACACCAGTGTTCTTCATCCTGGAGCAAACAGACTGAAATCCTCAAGTCCTTTTTACTTATAGATTTCCACAAACCTCCCACTTGCAGAATTTCCCCCTTATGTTTTGCTGCCAAGAAATGCCTTTTTGTCACAGAGAAGTGAAGGCAGGGTAACCTGCAAGATGAACACTCCCACAGCCGCCGAGAGGCAGTTTCTTGGTCTTGGTTCTGTCCTGAGGACTGAAATGATTTCAGCTCTTTTTTGTTGAATCAGTGGGGAGGATAAGCAGGAATTCAGGCCTCTTACCATTTCAGGGACAACTGAACCATTAGGCAGAAAGCCCTAGTGCTTTTACTGCCCATTAATACCACACTGATTCAAGAGAGGCCAATGAACTGTGTCTGCCTTTCAGATCTGGCAAGATGATCAAATCCTTCAAGCAAACATTCCTGTCCCTGGACCTGCAGTCCCCTCGGTGGAGCTCAACAGAGACAATGGTAAGTGCAACAACGCTTTCACGCTGATTTGGAAACAGCAGCTATTAATTTTGGTCATCTTTAATACCCATCTCCTGGTTACTGTGACTTTCGCTCCCTTGCAGGCCAAGGACTATGAACTGCGTCAGTATGAGACGGCCAAGTGGGTGAGCACGGTCATCAGGGGGGAAAGCCAGAAGGAAGCCATGCGCCAGGGCTTCTGGAAGCTCTTCCACTACATTCAGGGAAAGAATGAGAGAGGTAGGACCTGCTGGGTCTGAAGGGCAAGGTGATGAAGACCAGTAGTACAAAACAGAGGAGCTGGAGAACGCAGCTTTGACAACTGTCTTTCCTCTCCTCTAGAAATGAAGATTGACATGACTGTGCCAGTGACCTGCCTGGTGAAATCTGGCTGCACAGACTTCAAGATCTCGTTTTTTGTGCCCTTTGAACACCAGGACTCCCCCCCCCAGCCCATGGACTCCGACGTGTTCGTGGAGGAGCGGAAGGCAGCGGCGATCTTTGTCCGGTGAGCACAACCAGCATGGCTGGTAGCACATCAACCCAGCTCATGGGGTGCCCTCGCTGAGCTGTGGGCTACCCTTTCCTGGAGGATTTTTACTTGAGTCTATATCCTGCTGTCCAGAGCTTTCACTGCTCAAACCCAAGCATTTGGAAATATCACATTCAAGTGTCTTATTACGAATGAAATGACCAAGTTTCAAAATGTTACTTTTTGAGCCTACTCTTGACTACATTACAGTGGGTTTGATGCAGGTGCAGCCTCCAGAATCTTAGTTTGTGCTACAAAACATCCAAACCACTCTTCTAGCACCCTTAAGGTGTAGCTTAAAACTCCCACACTGCATGGTAGTTCTTTATTACAGGAAATACACCCAAAGCAACACCTGGATCGCACGTCAACCAACTCTCAGAATCAAAATCAACTTAGGTGTTTAGCTCAAGTTCTGCTTTTAAAACCAGCATAAATAGCCATATGCTCTTAAGCAGCTTGTTCTCCTTAGTTTATCTAGTAACTGCATCACAAGTGTTTAAACACGGTATGCTTTGCAAACCTGAAATCTCCTTCTGTGCAAATTAAAACCAGGGGCTTGAACTCTTAATAAAAAAATCCCCTTTTTTCACTTCTACCAGGTCCTTTGGTGGCTTTGCCTCCCCAGAGAAATATGCTGAGGAAGCTGAAGTCTTGGCCAGAACCTTAAGAAACAGAGGCCAACCATTCCATGAAGACTTCTTCTATACTGCAGGCTACGACAGTCCCTTCAAGCTCTTTAACAGGCACAATGAAGTGTGGTATTTTAAAAAGTAACATGGTGGGGGGAATATTAAGAGGCTACTAATCAGCTCTGGATGAAAACAGACCTTATTAATGGCTTTTGCTTTAGTGCAGAAGAGATTTAATTTGCACATGGACACAGAATGTCTAAGTCATCTTCTCTAGGATGAAATACTATTGTGGCTAAAATGATCTCAAGCTCTGTCTACAAAATGTAATTTAAATTCAAGTAGATTGTACCAGGTAGAGTAGGAGGGAGATAGTACAAGCTTACTCTTAATTGAAAGGTTCTAGGGAACACCAATAATCTGAAACTAATCCTTCCTAAAGTTTGGATGTCTAGTTTTACTTCTCATTAGAAGTGCTACAGCAACAGCTCAAGCGTCATGGAGAATTCAGCTCTCCATAGAGCTGACTTTTCCAATACTGACATCAACCCTGAGACAGAGGAATTTAAAAATCAATTTTTTATAGAAATCTATCATTAATGAGTTTGGGGAAGCAGCAACACCTTAGCAGGCCTTCCTGCCTCATAATTAATAACTTGGTTTTTTAATTGGTACTATAAAATCCCCCACCTCTTCACTTTTTTCCCTCATGGAGGCCAAATCCTGTCTTGCTCAATTCCAGTGGAAAAGGGTTAACAAGTCCAAGCAGTGTGCTTGTTCTGTGCACACCTGGACACATAATACCAGGATTACCGGGGGCATTTTAGTATTAAATAAAGTAGTAATAAGTTTAGCTCTTACCTACAACACACTAATTACCCCATCAATTGTTTGCCTTTGTCTAAATGTTGGTATTGGCCAGGCCAGCTGCAGCCTGCACACCAGCAGCACTGGACACCCCAGTTAACACACTTGCCAGCATTTCACCTAATTTAGTCCCTGCTCTAAATCAAGCATTTGAAGCTTTTATACAGTAGCCTAAAGCTGTTTCACACCAAGCTGTTCCAGTCAGAAAGGAGGTCACAACAACAGGCAGAGTTTGCAGATTTTTATTGGCTCCAACCAGTGTCAGGCAAACATTACCAGTGGGGTAAAAAAAACCACTTTGGCTTTTTAATGCTGTTCATGCAAGTGTAGCCAGTTATACTGCAATCCTCCACCTAGTAAGACAGACATAAGAACCACTTTAAGACACCAAACCACCACAAGACACTTGCTGGGAACATCTCAGCCCTTAGAATTTCATCTCTGTTCAGTGAGAGAGTTCAAGCTAAGGTTATCATCACTTGTTCCAGCAAAGAAATGTCTTAATTACTGCAGTTACACTCACCTTCTCAGTTCTTGATACAGTAATTGCAGAGTTGCTTCCTCACCTAAAGCCAGAAGAAAACACAATTAGCACATGCAGTAGCACAAGTGGTACAGGCTCCACAGCAGCTCTGTAACCTCAGCACAAAGTGGAACGGAAAGGGTAAAATCACACTAATTCATCTGGCAGAATCAATCTCATCAGTGGTTACAAACATTCCCAATAATATATAACACAGTTCAGCTGTTGGACTTACCCAGTGAGGCTGCAAACAGCACAGTCCTTTCCTGAGAAGAGAGAGGTACTTTCAGAATAACAGACAGCAGCACTACAGGCAAGTTTGTTTCTCTATGAATTCCTATTCACCAAACTCATTTAACCTGGGGGAAGGCTGCCTTTTAGCTGGCAACTCACAAGTTCAACTTGCAACACCCAAATATAGGAGACACAAAGCTTACAAATCCTAACTGAATTGGAAATACAGAATTACAAACATTGGAAGAAACAGGGTAAGTACAAAGCTACTACTTGCTTTGTGATGCTGTCTCTCCCCATGGGAAAACTGTATCTAATGAGTTTAGATACCCAAATTACAAGTCTCATAGAAATCATCCCGAGAACCTATCTTTAAAAATGAGAACCAGTCTGTTGGGAAACAAGATCATACAGCAAATATCTAGAACTTGAGTCTAAATTTGAGTAGAGCCAGCATAAAGATCAGCAAAAATTGCTGAGAAGTGACAACCAGAGAATATAGGGTTGTTTTCCTTTTAATTCCACAGTGCAACGTTGCAATAAACTCCCAATTTTTAGAGCCATTGAGGCCACATCTTCTGTTCAGTCAGAACTCCACACCAAGTTTACCACTGACTGCACTTGGGTACCTGCTCAGAAACAGCCCTTCCTTTTCATGGCAAATTCAGAACTACACAGAAGTGCATTCTTGCTTCAGGCACATGTTTATTCCCACAGCAGATGGGAGTAGGAGAATCAGAATACAATAAAGGGAAGACAAATCAGATCTCTTACAGGACACCTTTTAGGTACCACTACCTAGGCATTCAGCACAAAGACAGTATTCCAGGAATTACAAACCCCCATGTACTCTACACTTACCTCAGGCACATCCACCTTGTTTCTCACAGAAACTCCTCACAAGATTCACCCTGTAAAGAAGTGAAATTTTACTAACACTCTCTCCTTGGCAGTGCTTCAGGAGTTAGTTTGAATTTGGGTACTGTTTCAGCACAAGAGTTGTCCTCAGACTCTTTCAGAGAGATTCCCATTGCTTAGAATTCATCACAAACAGTACATGCTTAGAGCAGCTTGATGTTGTGCCACTTTTGTCTCAGAGGATCCAATCTCAGCATTTCAGACCTTATCCCCAACCACATCTTCATTCACATCATGCAAAAGCCCTGATCTAGCATTTAAGAAAAATAATTCACCACAGTAAACCCTGAAGATTAATGCTCCTCCCTGCAAGAGCCCACTACCTAATTAAAAACAGTAATTAACTACTGGCTTTGGTGAGCACAAGCTCTGTGCTACCAGGTTACTACACACTCATTAACGAGGAACTCAAGTAGTCCATAGCAGTTGGACATTCCAAATGGTCCCTATTACTTCTTCTCAGTTACAGAAAACACTTAAAAGCTTTAAAGTATGAGATATGCAGCACCTTGGGTGAGTGAAGCCTGCAAGCTGCTGCCAATCTGTGGGGCTTTTACCTGGTAGAGGTAATAAAATCCTCCAGAAACCTTCTGCTTGGTGCTGCAGCTGCAATTATAGGATCTAGAAACTTCCCCATCCCCTGTATCACACAGTTCTGAGCAGTCACATCCACGTGCTGGCGACTTACCCTTTGCTGGCAGCACTCCCAACTGCCCCAATTCCTGGCTCCACTGCACCTGGAATAATGCAAACTATCAGGACAGCACGGAAAGCAGCAGAGGAGGGTGGAATCTCAGCCAGGTGCCTGCAGTCAGATAGAGCTAATGGCAGACCTCCAGCACTGGAGTCAGGGCAGTCACATCTCATCACACAGGCAGCTCTGTCAGTCCCTGCTCTAGGCCAAGGCTGCAAATCCACCAGCAGTGCCATCAGGGCCACTCTCTGTGCTCAGCTCTTCACTGGGAGCTCACACCAGCCTGCCAAGGCTGGGCCTTACCCAGCAGTTCCCCCACCCTCCTGTTTTGGCTGAGATGGCAAGCAGCAGACAACACCAGCCACTGGCCCCTTCCCCTCAGGTAAAAGGTAAATACTTCACTTCTGGGCATATTTTGGAATATTGATACTTGCAGAGTTAATCAAATACCCACCTTGCAAGGAGAAACATTTTGGAAGCCTGTAGAGAAAAAATTCCTATTAGACAAGGTCCAGCAGAAAGTTTTAGCATAAGAATAGTTCCAATAAAATACTGTATCAGCATTTGGTCAAGTTTTGTCCTCACAGGGATCAGAGACCTGATTCAACATCATCTACAGTAGAGGCCACCTCACCTCCATCCCCTCCCAGAGGAAAAGCCAACTCCCAGCAAGCTCCAAACCCCTGGTAAGTTTATCCCTCAGCTCCAGAGACAACCAAAATTGCAGGAAGGAGCAAACTTCTGAAGTGTAGAGTTCAGGGATATCAACTTTGTGTTAATACCCCAGCCATGCTAAGCCAGGATAAGCATTTTGGGCACTAAAATCAGAGTACAGTGGCATTCACCATTCAGGTTTAACAGGTACTTTCCAAAAATCTTTACCACCACAATTACTTCCTGCTTTTATAGCACAACACAGGAAGCTGAAAGCACACTTTGCTTCACACTTTCCAGAGAAAACACAAGGAATTTGCAGACGTCTCTAAAAGCAAACACCCAAGCTCAAATGCAGCAGACTAAAGTCTAATAAACCCTAAAAATGGTTTATTAATTACCTGCAATTAGGAAGGCCTTGTCTTCACCAACATCAGTAACAGATGAAATAGCTTCTCTCACAAGAGGCACAGGTCTCCTCTGTCCAGGGCAATCTGTAAAGCAACAAAATCCTTTCAGAAGTTGGAGCACTAACACCTGATTAACCTTATTCCGCTGTACTTGTGTTTAATTTACAAGCACAGCCTACTCTATACCCTTCTATTCATCTCACTAAACTTTATGTTTATCCCATTCACTGATTTTCTGGGATCAATTTTCAGAACACATTTACTGATCAAAATGAAGTGTTTCCCTCTCAGCTTTCCACATGATTTGTCTGGAACAGCCTAAGGACAGGAGGCTGCATCAGACAGGAGCGAAAGACAGTGACAGTGTGATCATCACGGCTCATCTGCTGAACTATGCTGTCATCACAGCAGCCCCTCACACAGCAGGGACACAAATGAGTTTGGACAGGCACAGGCAATGCAATGTTTACCTTACACAGGTTAGAGCTTTATCTCCCAGTGCCTGCAACAAATGAAAAAAAAAATGAGGTTATTTCAGCCTTGGTGTCCAAGCCCAGAGCTCCTGATGAGATCACAAAAGGCAGACACATCAGATAGGAGCGAAAGACAGAAGTGTTCATCACAGGGTGCTCTGCTGAACTATGCCATCATCACTGTATCTGCTTTGGAATCATCCTACCAAGCAATCACCTCTTGTCACAGCTTTTACAAATAAGTTTTCCCAATAAAACAAAGAAATATTCGCAAATTTGAATACTAGCAAGTATAAATTGCTTCTGGTCTTAGTGGAAACTAATTCTAAAGCACATCCCATCCTTCCCGCTGCAGTGTTTTAACAACCCCATGGAAGAAACCCCACCATAAAGCACACATTTCTCACCAGGTGATGTTCCTTCTGCACGTCTGCTGAGGGCAGGAGTCAAATCCTGGAAGAAAAAAAAGCTTGTGAATAGGATATTCAGCACTCAAAGCATTGAGGGGAGCTCTAAGTTACTGTGCCTCAGAAAACTGTAATGGTGGTAAAAGTGCTCATCACTCTCTTGGTCAAGAGTAGCAAATAAGTGTCATCATCGTGGCACCAGAGGGAAAACCTGGCTCAGGGAATTGTCTGACCACTGATGTATGTTATCAGAGCAAAAGACACTGTCCAGACAAACCCTAAGCACCATTTCATGCTGAGTTTTCATTAATTATGTATTACCTTGTGAAGTGGCATCAAGGCTGTGCATTTGGTGGCAGATCTGGAAGAGAAAGAACAGCTTCAGGAGTTTGTAGAACTGGGAGCCCCTCTGGCAGCCACATCGAGCACAGAAAAAAGCCTCAGCACAGAGTTTTCAGAAATCACTTCTGTCCACTACTCTTTACACTGAAACCATCACAGGCTCTGTACTCCAGTCAACAGCAATCTCCTCAGTTACACTTTTTCTGCAATGTGTTCCAAGTTATTTACTGCTGTGAATAGTGAAGCAGCAGTAATGCAGGAAAAAATCTGGGGTACTCTTGTGGTCTGCTTACAGGAGGACCAGCGGTTTAGAAACAACAGGAGCCTCCCAAATCCTTTCCAGGACAAAGAAAGGGGTGACTTTTCTCAGTAAGCAAATGAGGAGTGCTTGAGGAGACACCATCACCATTGCTGATCCTGTAACTCCCCGATACAAGAGTACTCCAGTCTAATTGCTGTACATGAATCTGCATATTTTTTCATTGAAACACTCTATTTTAGAAGCAAAACTTACCTATTTTGAAGCCACAAGAAGGAATAGTATAGCTGATGCATCTTAAACTGAAAACAAGAAAACATATTAGCTTTTCTTCTTTAAAGAATGTTATTTTTACAGATACCTCTTTGAGAGATGCAAAGTAAAATACAAAACACTCTGAGCCCTAAAGTCCCCCCCGACACAATCTAAATTTCTGCTCTTTGATCAAATAAGGACACAAGAAGTAACTGCTGTCTGTATTTTTATGCAGAACAGAACCTCTGAAGTACCTTACTCTCTACAGCTTAAATTCTGCTGTGCAATCACCGGATCAGCCCCGTGACTTTTAGCTGCTCAGAAAGGCCCATGTGGCGCCTCAGCCATCCCAGACAGCCCACAAGTGTCCCGTGCCCAGCTCAGATCCGTTGGCATTCATCAATCACCCTGTCAGATGTCCCTACCAACGCAGTTCTCATCATGTGCGGGCATAAGGGAGTCCGAGTGAGCCACTGCTCTTTAAACGTCCACAATCGCAGGATATGCTGAGTTGGAAGGGGCCCACCAGGATCACAGTCCAACCCGTCCCGCACTGACACCCCAACAATCTCTCCCTGTCTCTGAGAGCGTTGTCCAAACGCTCCTGGAGCTCTGGCAGCCTTGGGGCCGCCAGGCCAACCCTTAATCCTTTAGGGCACCGTGTGCACATTTCAGTAGCGGAGGAAGTCCTTAACCCTCCCACAACGCTACAATCGCATTTTGCACATTTATCCGCCAAAGCAACCACCTCTAAAGCCCAGCGGACAGTGAAAGAAGGCACCAAGCCACAAAACCCAGGGACCCGTAATGCTTACATTTGCAGCGGGCCCATCACACACTGCCATGTGCCAGGCGCGTTTCCCATGGGAAAAGGGCTCCTGGGTAAGACCCCACAACTCAGCGCCTCGTGTATTACCCCGCACCCCCAAGCTGATACCCCCAAACCCGTGTGGGCCCCCACGGGACCCCGCTCGCACAGCGCCGGGGTCGCCATGAGGCACAATACCAGCGGCCTAGGCCCGGCGGCGCAATCCACCCCCATCCTCCCGCTCCAGCGCTTATCGGGGACCCCACCGCACCCCGAGGGCCCCCGCAGGGCCCCGCCGGCCCACCCCGGGGATAGAACAAGCGCGCACTCACCGCGGGGGCCGCACGAGACTCTCCCACCCCTCCGCCCCTCAGGAACACAAAGACCGCGAACTTCCTGCGTGGCCTTTATATAGGGTTGGCAGTCACGTGACGCGGCGCGGCCCCTCCCCCTCTGGGCGCACCCCGCGGGCGGGGGCGGTGCGCGGGCGCACGGTCCGCACGGCGTTTCCTTCCGGGGCGCGGCCCGCGCTGGCGCGTTTCGGTTCCGGGCCGGCGCTGCGGGCCCTTCCCACCCCCGGCAGGTGAGCCCGGTCCGGGGAGGGGCGGGCGGGGACGGCCCCGGGGAGAGCTCCGGGACGGCCCCAGGACGGCCCGGGGGGCTCGGGGAGACGGGCGGGGCCGAGGCGCGGCCGCCGCCCCTTAGCACGGCGGGGGGGAGCGCAGGGCGGGCCGGGCTGTGCCCCCGCTCGGGGGTCCGGGTGCCGCTGTCACGGCCATGGCGGGCCGAGGGGCAGCGCCGGGGACAGCGGCACCGAGAGCCCTGCGGCGCCGGGGGGGGGCACCGCCGGGGGTCGGGTCGGACGGGGAGTCGAGAGAAGTCCCGCTGGGATCTGGGAGGAGCCGAGTCGCGTTGGGTTTGGATATTGGGAAGGAGTTCCTCCCTGTGAAGGCGGGGAGGCCCTGGCACAGGTTGCCCAGAGAAGCTGTGGCTGCCCCGTCCCTGCAAGTGTCCAAGGCCAGGTTGGACGGGGCTTGGAGCAACCTGGGCTAGTGGAAGGTGTCCCTGCCCATGGCAGGGGGTGGAGTGAGGTGGTCTTTAAGGTCCCTTCCAACCCAAACTGTTCTGGGATTCTAAGTTGTTTCTAGTGAGCAGTGACGGGACCCGAGGGAATGGCTGGAACTGTGTCAGGGCAGGGTCAGGTTGGATCTGGGGAAAAAGTTCTTCCCCCAGAGGGTGGTTGGCACTGACCAGGCTCCCCAGGGCAGTGGGCACAGCCCCAAGGCTGCCAGAGCTCCGGGAGGGTTTGGACAACGCTCTCAGGGACAGGGTGGGATTGTTGGGGTGTCTGTGCAGGGCCAGGAGTTGGACTCGATAGTCCTTGTGGGTCCCTTCCAAGGCAGCATATTCTGTGAAGTTGCCCAGTCGTGGTAGATCTGAGCCCAAAAGCTGAGTTTTCAGTCCCTCTGTGCAGCCCCCAGGGCGAGTGTCTGACAAGGACCATTCACAGTGATCACCACCTGCTGGGGGGGATCTGCCCCTGCCTTTTCCCTGATGAAGTGAGAATTCCTGCTCTCAGGAGCTGCCTCACACAGGGAAAGGCATTTGCTGAGATAAGTAAAGGCCAAGTCCGAGCTGGTGACACTTCAGATTGCATTGAAAGCTGCTGAGTGTCCCAATGTGTGCCCTGTGCTGAGGCTCAGCCCTGAGGGAAAGGTGTGTGCAGGTGATGGACTTCCCAGGGAAGACAGAAATTGGGATGTTATTGCTGAGGTGCAGAAGCTGCTGAGAGACCCCCTACCTGGGGGCACAGAAATCCCCCTGACAGGGGAGTTTGAACCAAGCCCACAGATTCCCCCTCTCCAGCCTCTGAGGATGTTCCCCAAAGTGTATAAAACATAAAGTGCCTCATGAAATGCAGGTTCCCCCATTCTGAGGTGGGCAAAGCTCCAGGGGTCTTTTCCTCCTGCCATAAAGGGTGGATGGATTTTCCCTGCTTTTGGAGCAGGAGCTCACAGACAGTTTTTTGGGCTCCTCTGGGAGCAGCTGCCCTCAGAGCAGGGCCATACCCGGCCACTTGAGGTCTGATTGCTGTTTTTACCCTTCCCTTCCTGTACCTCCCGAGCTCAGCCTCTGCCACTGCCTCGTCTCCCCGGGTGCTTGTGGATTGTTTCACCCTTTGTTACGATCTGCTTAAATATTGCAGAAAGAACTTTTAGGTTCGAATATTCCCTTGAGCAAAATTAAAACTCATACGAGTTATCTGTTGATACCCAAACTGTTTTTATTAATTGCTAAGAGATGCAAAGAGAAAGAGGGAAAAAATAAGAAAAGGTTGGAAAATACCAAGATTACTTTTAGAAGCAGAGAAAAGATTACTACCAAAAGTGCCTTTTCCGTTAAACTGGTCTGTAGTGGGGGGGGGGGAGAGAGAGAAAAGCAGTTTTCTGCCTTTTTTTCTCTGTCTCTGCCGCTTTTGGGTGTTATCTCTTTAGCAGCAGGGGGTGTGATGGGCAGGCAGCAAACGGTGGCAGGAGGAAAGGTGAGGGCGAGGCAGGGGAGAGACCCTCAGCTGCTATAGCCAGTTGTCTTTCCCACTCCTCTTTCCCTACTTTTCCCAAATTTCTCTTCAACTTTTATAGTGTTCAGAGGAGGCTCTGCGTGGCCTCCTAGCACGTAGCCCCATTCAGATGTTCGGAGAGATATGATAACCATGAACAATAACAGGATCTTTTGGCAGGAAAACTCCAGTGGGAAATTCTGGTGAGAGCTTCTGGTGGAAAACTGACACAGAAGTTTTGGTGGGAAGTTTTTGACAGGCAGAAACAATGGCGAAACATAATTTTTGGCATTTGTATGTTATCTGTCTGTGACACCCTTGCCTTTGCTTCCCTGCCTTAAGGGAATGCTCTGGGGCTTATTGCTTTAGGAACAGGTGTTTGGGGAAGGTGGCAAACCGGGAATGACAAAGCCTGACATCCATGGCACACAATTCCTCCGTGCTTCATTTTTCCTTTCTTTTTTTACCCTCTCAAGGGGAAGGGGGCAACAAGCTTCCAAACCTTCTCACTACATCAGAAGGACAAAGGAGAACAAGAAGGCAGCACCCCCACTTCCTCCCCCCCTGCATGTAACTCACAGTGCTCCAGGTAAGACACTGGGGTTCCTGTTTCCCCTGGCTTTGTGTGTTTGAGGTGCTGCTCCCAGCGCTGTGTTCACATGGAATTGTGCACTGTAGCTCCTTGGGTTTGGGGGGGTTTTATCTCCTAAAGATAGGGAAGAACATCAGCCTGTTGGAGTGAGTCCAGAGGGGGGACACCGAGATGATCAGAGGGCTGGAGCAGCTCTGCTGGGAAGAAAGGCTGGGAGAGTTGGGATTGTTCAGCCTGGAAGAGAGAAGGCTCTGGGGTGACCTGATTGTGGCCTTCCAGGGCCTGAAGGGAACTTACAGGAAAGATGGAGAGGGACTATTTACAAGGGCCTGAGTGACAGGACAAGGGGGAATGGCTTCCCACTGACAGAGGGCAGGGTTAGATGGGATATTGGGAAGAATTGGTGGGGCTCTGGCACAGGTTGCCCAGAGAAGCTGTGGAAGTGTCCAAGGCCAGGTTGGATGGGGCTTGGAGCAACCTGGGCCAGTGAAAGGTGTCCCACCCGTGGCAGGGGGTGGGATGAGATGGTCATTGAGGTCCCTTCCCACCCAAAGCATTCCATGATTCTGTGACAGGAGAAAGTGAGAAGAAGCCTTAGTTCTGGGATTCCTTGGAGTAGGCACTATCACCCTCAGTATTCTCAGCCTGCCTGAAGTGGTTTTTATACCTGCAGCTCTTCTCAATCCTCACTTCAGGTGCCATCCAGCTTGGAAGCTGCTCACGCCGTGAGTGGGCTTTAACAAGCTTATTTACTTTCTTCTTTTTTGGGGGTGAGTTTACATCTAATTTTGGATCATTCCAAATTTTTACCATATATGGTCAGGGCTCCTTTTCAAACTTTGCCAAAATGCAATGTGATGATGTGGTGGCGCATCCCCCCACCCCTGGCCCTGCTGGAAGCATCTCAGAAGCTCCTGATAAGCCTTGACGGACCCGCTGAGCGGTGAAGTGTCCCCTGACTGCACCAGCTGGGCTGGGAGGTGCTCCCTGATCCTGCCAGGAGCTGCTGGGTGGTACAGGTGGGAACAACCAGGAACATCCCAGCCAAGGTGGGGAACAAAGGATAAGCCGTTATCCTTCGGAGCCTCGGTGAACCATTGCCCTGGATCACCGATCACCGCCCGGGCGGAACGGCACCGCTGGGGATTGCAGCCCGAGTGGAACAGTCCCATTGTTACTGTGCTTTGGGAAAGAGCCCGGGACTTACGGACTTGGGATATGGCCAGGATAGGAAATTGGTGATGACCAAAGTCAGTAGCCTTGTGACCCTACAAACAGTGGTCCTGAGTGAGGCCCTTTGGCTCTCCCGGGCCACACCTTTTTCTTTCACCCTCCCGTTATATATTTTCTGGCATGTGTCAGAAGTGTCACATATGATGGATATCTTGGGATTAACAACGCCCTTAAGATGTCTCGAGGTCAGATGTATGCTGGCCAGCTTTTCAGAACTCTCAGGAGGATTTAGGTCCCGGTGTCTCCTTCCTGATTCCTGTTGTACGAAGGAGGCGTAACAATATTACTTTCCCTTTTCAAAGTGCTTAGAAGGTACAAGTGCTGAGTATTTTAATCCATTATGCAATCAGCTGCCTATTTTTAGTACCTGAACCATTTTTTATGTTCTTTTTACAATGCAGATGTGCTTTGAGGCTGACAGAGCGAAGTGTTTCGGGCGCCGAAGCCGTAGGGACTGGGGGTCTGTCAGGGGCTGGTTTAGCAGAACTCTGGTGCAGGGTGGTGCACAGCATGTAGAGAGCACAGAGCCCTGCCAGGTGTGGGGCAATTCAGTGGGGAGAGAGGTCTCTAAAAATCCCACGTGGAAGCAGGTAAAAAAGGTTCTAAATGCAAATGACAGGCTGGCTCTGCTAACGACGGGTTTCTCTTCCCCCTTTTGCAGCACAGTCGTGCACCTGCAACCGGGACAGCCATGGAGAAGAGCGGGAACATTCAGCTGGAGATTCCTGACTTCAGTAACTCTGTCCTGAGCCACCTGAACCAGCTGCGCATGCAGGGCCGGCTGTGCGACATCGTGGTCAACGTGCAGGGCCAGGCGTTCCGCGCGCACAAGGTGGTGCTGGCGGCCAGCTCGCCCTACTTCCGCGACCACATGTCCCTCAACGAGATGAGCACCGTGTCCATCTCCGTCATCAAGAACCCTTCTGTCTTCGAGCAGCTCCTCTCCTTCTGCTACACGGGCAGGATCTGCCTGCAGCTGGCCGACATCATCAGCTACCTGACGGCCGCCAGCTTCCTGCAGATGCAGCACATCATAGACAAGTGCACGCAGATCCTAGAGGGGATTCACTTCAAAATCAACGTGGCAGAGGTGGAGGCGGAGTTGAGCCAGACCAGGACGAAGCATCAGGAGAGACCGCCCGAGTCTCACCGGGTGACACCGCCCCTGAACCGTTCCCTGAGCCCGCGCCACAACACCCCGAAGGGGAGCCGCCTGGGCCAGGTGAGCACAGTGCTGGACATCCGGGAGCTCAGCCCGCCCGAGGAGTCCACCAGCCCCCAGATCATCGAGCAGAGCTCGGACGTGGAAGGCAGGGAGCCCATCCTGCGGATTAACAGGGCGGGACAGTGGTACGTGGAGACGGGGATGGGAGAGCGCGGGGCCCGGAGCGACGACGACGTGCGGGTGCTGGGCGGAGTGCGCATCAAAACCGAGAACCTGGAGGAGTGGCTGGGGACAGAGCACCAGCCCTCGGGAGAGGACGGGAGCAGCGCCGAGGAGGTCACGGCCATGGTGATCGACACCACGGGCCATGGAGCGCTGGGCCAGGACGCCTATGCCCTGGGCTCCTCTGGGGCCAAAGTGGTCAGGCCAACCAGCACTGAGATCGACAGGTGGGTTCCCTTTGACTCAGTTGCTGACCTTGGCTGTGCAATATTTTCACTTGGCTGGGTTGGTCTCTCTGGAATGTTTCCTCCTTCTGTTTCCTGTAGCCATCTTAAGTGCTGAAGGAGTTTTTTTTCCTGGTGTAAAGAAGTGTGTCTGGTTTGGGTTATAGTATTTTGTCTGGGTCGTGATGAGACCAGGATCTCCAGCTACAGGCCAGTTCTGTGCATAGGTTGGGATTTGTACCTCAGTGTTTCAGGTGAGGTGGGATTTTTGTTTAAAGAAGGTGTTCTGTGCAGCCTCAGTAGATACCAGGCTCAGCATGGGGATTATCAAGGTCAGATGCAATATGTGTTACCGGAAGTGTCATTGCACTGATGCCTTCTGGCCTGAAAATCTGAGGATGGTTCTGGCTGAGAAACAAGCCGAGCACCAGCTGTAAGTCAAGAGCAAATTTTGTCCCTGGTGCTTCAGGGCAGCAGTGGGCCCTGGGTTTACATCTTCTGGAGCAGCTGAAGTGGGGAGCCCAGCGGCCTCCACTGTTGGTTTGATTTATATGAGAGAGCAGAAGGCCTTTATGTGAAAATGAGTGGTGAAATCTGCTGTGTTTGGATTCTCCATCCATCTGCTTCCCCTCGGCTTGAGTATTTATTTTGTTGCCCTAAGCACAGCCCAGAGAGAGGATCTGATAAAGGGCAGGTCTGTTGGATTGGAGCGGGTTATATTTGCAGGGTGTCCCTTCACATCTGCCCCTCTTCCACCTCAATTCCTCTGGTTCCAGCTACCTGGAAGCAGTGAATATTCTACCACTTGTTGCTTAATAAATCAATCAGTGGGAACAATCTTGAGCTGGGCCTTGGGAGAGCAATGCTTTCTACTTCCTTAGCTCTTTTCCAGGGATCAGTTAGTCTCAAGCATCTCTTCTTGTACTGCACTCAGTATCCACTGTTTCCCACCTGGAGTCCATCACACCCTTGTGTTTCACTCTGGGGAGGGGCAGGAGGGTGTGGGTGGTGGATGAGAGTGCCCTCAGAGAAATGGTTTCTGCTCCTGCTGTGCAGTTCTGGAGTCACCAGGCCCGTGTTGGTTTACTCCTGATAGCAACCCCAAAGCTCTCTGTCACTGAACTGGAGGCCAAATGACTCAGTTTTATTTTTCAGATGTTAAGACTGAACCCACATGCCAGTATGACTTGGTTTGTCCTTTATACTTGCGCTGTTCCGCCTCCTGTGTGTTAGCTGGTGAGATTGAAGAGATGCTGTACAGGTGCCTCCACTGCTCACCTGTTGTTCTAAACACCACAGTGACCTGATGCCCATTAAAAACTCCATTTACACTCTTCCCCCACCCCACAGATTTAGCCCTTCTGGCAGCATGGTTGCTGTGACTGAGCGGTACAGATCAAAAAGCGAGTCTCCCGGGCGGATGGATGAGCCCAAGCAGCCCAGTTCCCAGGTAGGCAGATCAAGAAGTTTGCAAGTTAAATGTTGGCTCGGAGGTGAAGGGGGCTGTGTTGTGGTGAAGTGTGTCATATTTTATATTTGCAAGCAGTACCACGTGTGAAACAAGGACCTTTTGCTAATGCAAGGGGTTTAGTTGCTCACACTAAGAACGTGTGCTGGCTGTGTACGATTTAAAGCTGATTGTGGTCGCTTGGGATTTTGGCCAGATACCTGGAAAACATGAGGAGTTTCTCTTGTTGTCTGAGGGCATAAATATCCACCTTCATTCTGGGCAGGCCACCAACTCCTGAGGAGAAATCCCATTTGCCTGCAGAGCTGGATCTGCCCTGAAACACTGGCAGCAAATGCCTGAGCTGAGGGAGGAGGTGTGGCTTGGCTTCTGTGGAAGACTGAGGGGTGACAGCAGCTGAACCTTTCCAAAAAGCCCTCCAGGCACTACACCCATAGACCTTTGGGGTGGAGAGTCAAAGGGCTGTGGATTTGTGCAGAGGTTTCTGTCTAATTCCCAAGGCACCGTGTTGCAGAGCAGAATTTGCAACGTATAAAGGAGCTCTGAATTTTCTGCTTTCTTGGGCACAGTTTTGGGGTGGGAGGGAGAGAAATGCAGAAACGGGAGGGCAGTGGGGAGTGCAGCAAGGTGGGACAGTGGTAATACCTGTGCCTAATGATTTTGGTCTAGTTTTGTTGCATACAGTGAGAGTCACAGTGACACTGTAGTGAAAATGTGTCAGCCAACACAGTGCACAAGGACTCTGTGAGCCTGACAAATAGGGAATGTGTCAGTGTGTAAGCAATGACTTGGCTGGAGGCAGGTTGAGGAGTTACCAGGCTGCTTTGCTCTTCAGTAAGACCAAGAGAAGCAACGGGGAAAAAAATCATGGTTGCTGTCTGCTGCCTGTGTAATACACTTCCATAAAACAACAGATACCTTTTTGTTCCTGTTTCTCCAAAGCTTTGTCTTGTGTCCTTAGAAGACATTGAGAAAATTTCAGGTCAAGCTCACCCTCCAGGGGCAATGTGACATACAAAGCAATTCTAGCTCTTCCTACAGAAAAGCTGCTCTATTTCTGCATTGTGAGATGGCCTCAAATATAAAACCTGAGGCTTTACGCACATGGGGAGGTCTCATCCCCCTCCACTCTCCTGGCATTGCCATAGCCATACTAAAAGAGCCCGCCTGTGATCCCTGCCCAGTGGCAGTGGCAGATTGGAAAGGAAATACCAGAGCTTTGTGCATGTCCTTGAGTCCTGAGCAGCTTCCCTGTGCCTGCATGGCCGGATTCAGCAGCACCTGGCAGAGGTGCAGTGCTGCTCACACAGCCCTGGCCGCCAGAGGAAGGGCCCTCCTGCTGTTACACGTTCTCTGTGCTTGGCAGTGCTGGGAAGCAGCGTTGGGAGAGCAATCCCCCAGCACGGAGCATTCCGGAGTCGGTCCCTTTGTGCTCCATTGGAAGACGATGGCCAGAATTGTCTGTGGTGGTTCAGGGTTGCCCTTGGCTGTTTGTCTGTGTGGCTTTGGAGAACACAGAGGAGCCAGGGAGTCCTTGCTGTGTGAGCTGGGTTGGGGGCTGGGCTGGGTGGGACAGCCAGGCAGGCAAAAGTGACTCGTCATAAAATGAGCCCTGAGTGACACCTGAATAGATACCTCAGTGAGGTGCGAAGTGACACCTCAAGGGTTCAAAGTACCATTTGTGGTTCGTTCCACCTTTGTTTTAAAAAGCAAGCTCATCAATTGGCTTCCTGTTTTTAACCTTCAGTAAGTAAAACAGAAGGTGGCATACAGTATTTTAATAAAACTGGCCCAGATTTTTAAAGAAGTAACAAGTATTGACACACGTGGCCCACAACTCCATCGGTGGCCAAGCATGCACGTGACAAGGACTATCTTTTGTTCCCCAGATCCAGGGAATGACTTGGCAGAGGGGGCCTCTGCAGCAGTGGTTTCTAATTGATTGCTCGTTTGTCTTCAGCCCCAAGGCCCCAGTTAAGCACTTAAATATGTGCTTGAGGTTGCAGACATTAGTGCTGCTGATTTTGAGGTTTGGCACGCGCTTTACTGGCTGGACTGGGGCCTGATCTTCTTCTCTGCAGTTTGTTTTAGGCTGCTTGTTATTTAAATCTCTGCTGTTTCCTTGGCAGGGGGAGGAATCAGCCATGCTTGGAGTGAGTGGTTACGTGGAGTATCTGCGGGAGCAGGAGGTTTCCGAGCGCTGGTTCCGGTACAACCCGCGGCTCACGTGTATTTACTGCGCCAAATCCTTCAACCAGAAGGGCAGCCTGGACCGGCACATGCGGCTCCACATGGGCATCACCCCCTTTGTGTGCCGCATGTGTGGGAAGAAGTACACCCGCAAGGATCAGCTGGAATATCACATCCGCAAGCACACGGGCAACAAGCCCTTCCACTGCCACGTCTGTGGCAAAAGCTTCCCTTTCCAGGCCATCCTCAACCAGCACTTTCGCAAGAACCACCCCGGCTGTTTGCCCCTGGAGGGGCCCCACAGCATCTCCCCCGAGACCACGGTCACGTCCCGGGGGCAGGCGGAGGAGGAGTCCCCTCCGCAGGAGGAGGCTGTGGCTGTGGGGGAGACGGCACAGGGATCTGTGTCCACCACTGGGCCGGATTGAAACACGACTGCGGAGTCCGGGGAGAAAGGACCGTCTTCCCTTTCTTGGCTCTCCAGAGTCAGCACCAACCTGGCAGGCTGGTACTGTAATTAGTGCAATGCCACCACTGGACAGAAAGAAGCTCCCAAGATGTTGCCAAAATAGAAAAATCTCTTCTCTCTCTCTTTCTCTCTCTCTCTCTCTCTCTCTCTCTCTCACACACCCACACACACACGTAGAGTGTTAAACGTTTTTCTCCCTCATTCCTCCTCCTCTTGGAGAAAAACAGAACAACTGTGTCAATCAACTTCTTATTCAGGGATCGACAGGATTTTAAATTTTTTTACTGTTCCGTAGTGACCTGGGACAAGCAGTCATTTGTATTTCTGGACAGCCCTGTGGCCCAGCAGCCAGGCCCCGCCGGCGGTGCCGGTGGCAGCCCCGCGGCCCCGCAGAGCCATATCCGCTGGTCCCGCTCGAGGGGAGAGCAGGGGCAAGGGCCCGTTGCCTTTCTCCCTTGCCCAGGTAGGAAACAAAAAGACTGTCCTGGTGGAGCCTGCCTTGCCCGAGTGTATTTATCCCTGTCTTATTTTTGGTGTGTTTCTTTACATTTTTGTTTAAGCTGTTACTTTAGGGCTTTTGGCCTTGCCCGTTCCAGGCGCGCGGCCTCAGCGCCCCTTGTTAAAGCAGGCACGGCTCCAAGGCGGGATTCCAGAGGTCAGCAAGGTGTGAAGGAAGCACTTGGGCTACTGAGAGTGGGATTTAGCAGCTGTGAAGTTGGTGTGAGACGCTGATGCCTTGGGAGAAGGGCTGGAGGGCTCTTCCAGAGGAGGTTGTCTGCTGGTGTGACCGGAGAGCTCAGAGCTCTCCGATGTCCCGGCCGGAGCGCTGCCGTGCTCCAGGGGTTGCCGAGGGTTAGGCACAGATTTTCTGGAGTGGCTGAATTCCAGAGTTAGAGGCTGGCTACCAAAGTCCTCCTTCACCCCTGCTCCCCCCTCGACACGCACTTATCTTTTATAACAGCAATATGTGATACAGAAATACTGCAATGCTGTCGTCCCAGCCAAGCAATCGTGGGTGGTTGCTTTTAAACCTGTTTCTACAAACTACTTTGATAACTTTTTTAATCAATGAAATGCAAAAAGAAAAGAAAACTCTACCTTATTTCCTTGTAAAAGTTCAGGAGACTTAAGAGTGAATGGTTCCTAGAGCAATCACAACTCTGTCCCCTTGCATGGACTTCAAGATTTTTGTATTCTGAGCAGCTCTGATGTTTAGAGCAAGTTTAGCAAACCTGGAGAGATGTGCCTGCGTGTGTATTGTAGGTGTTTGCACGGGCTTACGTGGTTCATAACCGGAACAGCATGGGACAGGTAGATAAGTGCAAATATTCTGACATCTTTTGAAGAAGTCTTTTTAAAAAAATATGCAATATTTTAAGAGTTTTCTCTGGTTCTGATGCCAAGTTGTTCATGACAGAGGGGGGAAATGAACGACAGGTTGTGCGGATCGGGTCTGGTGAAGGAGTTCTCTTGAGGATGTAAGATAAAGGAAGGGTGAAGTTCTGATCCTTAAGGCGATGGGAGGAACAAAGAGACATTGGAAAAGAAATACACTTCATCTTGCTTCAGCTAGGAAGCCAGGTGAGTGGTTGGAACAGGGGCTTGGTGGGCAGGAGACTGACCATGTGACATCAAAGCTTGACCTGCAGTCAGACTGCACAATTTTGGGCACATGGAAACATCTCCAGCCTTTGCTTTCCCCACTGTCAAATTGGGACTCAGGATCATTTTCATGCCCCTTTAGAGGGAAGAATTTGGGGAAAGGTGATGTATTCTTGCCTCACTTTACAGATCATTTTTATAAGTGAGGGGTCTCACTGTTCCTCCCATCTCTCTCTCAAAAAGAGACGTGGCTCTAACGTGTTTTTGTGTGTGGGCAGGGCTTGGTGCCAGGATCACGTGTAACAGGGAAGTGCTCCTAAGAGAGGAACCTTTGCAGGTGTCCTGAGCCAGGCACCTGCAAAGCACCATTTCATTGACCATTTCAAACAGGAAAGCTGATATTTCACCTCCGTTTTCCTTCTGTCCCTTCCTCCTCTCCTGTCAAGTGCATCGTCACACGGGGAGTGATTTGGCCACCCGAGGGACCGGCCCCGTCGGGTTTCCTGGCGAAGGTCAAGCAGGATGGTACCCAGACAGTGAGGTTGCAGTGGCAGAAGATGAGGTCAGAGGGTGGCTAAGGTAGGTTTCGTTGCAATCGAGGTGCGGGAAGGAGTGGAGATGTGCTGCTTTAGTCATAGCTTTTGAAGTTACCAAAAATGAAAAAAAAAGAGTTAAAGACTTTGAAATCCTATCCTGTTCACACTAGAGAGCATCAAAAGTTACTTTTAGTTGCTTAAAAGATTTTTTAAGTGTTTTAAAATAGAAATTTTAAAAGAATACTACCAAACTATAAAAACATAAAATTATTTATATACATATATTATATATAAATATAGTGGGAAAGTTTCCCTGCTAAGCTTGCTGTGAAGAGAAGGGTGAAGGTGCAGTAACTGCTACACAAGCAACATTTTTCTGAGACAGATGGCAACCGTAGTGAAGAAAGGCTGACATAAAATGGTGACTGCCTTTGTTCCCATGGCATAGCTGTGAGTTTCTTGAGCAGGTTTGTGTTTTACTGTATCGATACTGTGAACGGAGGAGCATCCGGACAGCCCAGGGTGCCAACGGTGTGCCCTGTTTGCTGATTCACTACTTAATTGGCCTGGTGAAAACCATGAGATTGGTCCTTCATATCCTACTAGGCTGAAAAACAAAGCTTGTGAAAGGTTTTTATTTTTTTTTTTTCCTCCTTTATGTTTGCTTTTGGTTTTGGTTTGGTTTGGTTTTTTGTTTGTTGTTTGTTTTTTGGTTGTTTTTTTTTTTGGTGCAGAGGTTGCCACTGTATAAACGATCATTTCTGATTGCATGCAAAAGAGCCAATTCTTGCCCGGGCCTCGCTGAGGTGAAGTTTATAGCTTGTAGCTAGAGTCAGTATAAGGTATGGTAGTGGGAATCATTTTAATATTATTTCTGTACATTTAATGGATGTGTATGTATGTGTGGGAGTCATGGTGTCTCTAATACGTCTTGAACATTGCTGAAAGCAGTTCAGGCCCGTCCACACTGGGCGGCGGAACCAGTTCCGAAGGAATCGTTGTTGAACATTTCTTTCAGTGCTTGACCCTCTCGGTGCAGAAAAGGGCAAGAGGTTTGAGGAAAAAGGGGTTAGAGGTCGTGTATGGTATGGAAAAACCTCATGTGAATTTCCTGGCAGTGGTGTAGCTACTCAAGAGGTGCTTTCCCAGCAGAATGCTGCCGTGTTCCGTTGCCTCTCCACTGGCTCTTCACAGTTGCACCGAAGCTGTGGAGAAGCAGATGCCAACTTTTCAAGTGCGAATGCTTCTGTGATGGGTTGAGGCACAGCTTTGCATTCCCACGTCTAGCTGCAGCTTTTCCTGCCAAAACTGTGATTTCAACTGTGATTTAAGGAGGATGTGAAGAGAACTCTGTCATGTTTTAATACCTCTGTACATAACATTTCTGTCCGCTTCAGAGTTAGGGCTTACTAACCTGTTCGTTTGCTTGCCTCAGGCAACAGGGAGAACACACTCTGGTTTTGCAGTTTGTTTTCTCGGAGAGGAAACACACTTCTTAGTTCTTTGCTGCCAAGGAACTCACCTCCCAAATGTGAAGAGTTGTGGTTATCTCCTTAAGCCTGCAGCAAGCCCTGGTGCCAAGTCACAGCCGAGTGACGTGACGGTTGCCGTGGCTGTTCCTGCTGCTGCCAGGTTCCCTGTGAATAGCTGTGAAAATAACCAGAATTGTGTTATACTGTGCTGCTGCTTTGGGAAAAAGCTAAACCTCTTCCTCTCAGGAGGATGTGACTGATGGGAAGCTGGGAAAGGGAGAAAGGAGAAAGTCTTTTTGCTCTCTTGCGATGGGAGCGCGTGGAAACAAATTGCGCTTTGTATTTCCAGCAGCTAGAGAGGGATGAATGAGAGGCTTTATGGAATGTGAATTTGTAGCAGGAGGCTGAGAACATGCTTAGAGCCACTTAGTAAGATGCAGAGCTGTCAGCCCGGTGAGAGCCAGAGCAGCCAGTGCAGATGGGCAGTCCCTGGCCTGTTGTCCCAGCACTGCCCACCATCAGGTCAGTCCTTGGACTTACCGACACCTTCTCCACAATGTTCTCAAGCTGTGACCTGTATAATTCAACTTTCAGAAGTTTGCGTGCCTGAAGAAGGGCAGGAGGAACAGAAAGCTGCTGTTCCCATTTGACAGCTATCCAGAGCTGGAATGGCACTGGGAACAAGCTGTGGCCTGGCTGAAAGGCATTGTGGGGCTGGCTCAGCAGGGAGGGCAGAGAGCCAGGAGTTCAGCCCTCTGTGGGATCAGGGGTGAAATAAATGGACAGGACAGCTCTCCCTGCTTGTCCTGCTCGGTGGCTGTTTCCATGTCACTTAACATGCTCCTCTCAGCCAGTGATTCCAGGCCTGGTCTTGGAGCTGGGTCCTTCTGTGCCTTTGGGTGATTCAGCCCTAAGGAGGCCTTGGCAAGAGCAGAGTTGCAGCTTTTATTTGCTTCTGACTTCATCTCTCCTGCAGAACCCAAGGTATAAATAGGAAGACAACTGCAAAGGTTGGGGTGGAAGGTGGCTTGGGAGGTACACAGGGTCATGTTGAGGACCAACAAAAATAGCACTTAAAACGATTTACACTTTATCAAACTCTCGTCTTTGATCCGTGACGTGCCTGCCAAATTAGCTGTGCCAGCATCCAGGTGTTTCTGCAGATTAGTGACACCAAATGCTGTTGTTGCTCTGCTGGAAATATTTTGGGGATGGGAGGAGTCCCTGCTCATGGCAGGGGGGTTGGACTAGATGACCTCTAAAGGTCCCTTCCAGCCCAAACCATTCAGTAGTAAGTCAAGGAGCTGTAATTCAGGAGACTTTTTGGGCTCTCAGTTTTCCCTGGGAGCTGAGCCCGTGGCCAAGACTGCAGTTGGAAAGTCTGGGATCTGCTGATGATCTCCTGCCATGAGATGAGAGCCATGCACAGAGCTCTGACATCTGCAGTGGAAGGGCCTAAAGAGGAGCTCAGCATCCTTAATTTAGTCATTGTCATTCAAGGGATATTTTAATATAAAATACATACATACACATGTATGTACGTTTATATATATATATTTGTAACCAAATAAAAGCTAGATCTATGCAAACACTACTGGCTGCTGCTTGAAACTAAAGTCTACCAGAACATTTTGGAATAGAGTAGGCTTGGAGGAGACTTGCTGTGATTTGTTTGTTTTTCTTTTTTTAATAAAGAACAGCAGACCAAAGTTTTGCTGCAGTTAGTCTTACTAGAAATTTAGGTTATTCCTAACCTGGAACTCACTCAAGTGGGTTATAAAATTATC